TAGAGGGGAGGGGAGAACAGGGAGGGGAAGGAGAGGGGGGAGGGGAAGAGGAAGGAAAAGACAGAGGAAGGGGGAGGGAGGGCGCTCCACTGCTCTGTCGCGCTTCCGACTCTGGCTCTGCGGTGGCTAAAGCCCTGTTGTCATCTGGCTGGCCCGCGGTGGGTTTTCTCGCTGCCTTTCCCTTTTGCCCTCCGGTGCTCAATATGGCGAGGAGGAAGAAGGGCCCGGGAGTTTCCCTGCTCGGGAGTGTCCAGCCGGCCGGCAGTGCCGGGCAGTGCCGGGCCCTAGGGGAGGACAGCCGGCTCGGGGCCCCGATGAGGCCTCGTGGTCGTACGTGTTCTTGCCTTCGGTGCCTTAGACAGCACGGAGACAAGTGAAGGCCGTGGCTTCGCCATGCCCCTGCCCCTGCCCAGAGTGGCATGGAATCAAGACAGGCGCAGGTGTAGGCGAAGCCAGCGGAAGGGACTCTAGTATGAGGAGAGACAGAAGGACTTTGTGGCTGTGGATTCTCTTTGCCTGGTGACTTTCACCGTGTCTGGTGGGTGTTTCTCTAGATGGCTCTACCTTCTGGAGAGGCGATATTTGCAACATCTGATGCTGTAGTAGGTGTCATTACTTCTTTCCCTGCCTCTTGGCAGTATGCATAAAACCCATCAGTGTGGTCCCACTGAATTGCTAGACTACGATGGCTTGAGCACAGCTAGTGATTAGCCAAGATCAGCTTCAACTTTTCCTTTTTTTGGTGCTGGAGATTTAACTCAGGGACTCTTCTAGGCTGTGACCACATCCTCAACCCAGCGGCCCCCTCTTAAAAGCTGTGCGGTGAGTTTTGGGAAATGAAAGTTAAAGCTGCCTCCTCGAGCCTCCTCTTACTCAACATTCTCCCTTCATTTACCACCTTGGGGAATCCAGTTTGCTGCAAGGCTGGTTTCCTGACAGTGAACGGTATGGGGAAAGCCTGGAGGCCCAGGGCCCATTGAGGCCAGTATTGCAGTATTTGGCCTAGCAGAAGACAGGATGACAGTAGTGATGGAGAAGAGGACCTCATGGGGAAGGAGCTGTGCAGGGAAGGACTTTATACTGGGTGGAAAGGAACAAGAGAACAGAAGAGGAAGGAGGATGCTAAGGCTTTGGGGACTGAGTGACTTGGATAAATGATTTTACAGGACAAAAAAAAAAGTTGGGAAGAAAAATGAGTTGATTTGGGAATCTTGAATTTGAGGCACTGTCATAGCTTTTGGACAGGTGAAGTCTAATAGAGAGTTTGGACTGTGGCTGATACATGTGTGCATGTGACCTGGATTGGGCCATCACTGGAAACCTGATCAGATTTTGAAGCCTGAGGAGAGCAAGATGCTCACGCTTGTAATCTTAGCACCTTGAAAAGCAGTGATCTGAAGATTGAAGTTCAAAGCCAACCTGGGCAAGAAAGACTGTGAGACTCTTTTAACTAATTAACCAGCAAAAAGCTGGAAGTGGAGCTGTGGTGAAAAACCTAAGGGTTTAGGCCCCGTACTGGTGCATGTGCACACGTACACACGTGTGTACACACACACTCACAGACTCACTCACAAGACCAAAGGTAGTCTGCCCCTGCTTTTCCCCCCACCCCCTCAGGCGTTCTACTTTATTATTTTACTTCCCTTTTGTATCCCTGTGGATCTTTTTGGTAATACTGAGGTTTGAACTCATAAGAGCAAGGGCAGACCATATGGCTGCAATGCACTCTTCAAAGTTAGAAGGAATTGGAGCGAAGCATTTACTTGATTTTGGAGGGAGTAAAACATGTTTTAGACTGAGAGATGTTGTTCAATCGAGAGGGAACTTGAAAATGCAAAACCAGATGAGATTGAGACAGATGGCTCCCTTGGTGCCTCAGTGGATAAAGTCAGGCTCCGAGTAGAAGTTGCCCCCCAGGAAAGGGAGGTGAGAAGAGGCCTGTTTTCTTCTCCCACAGTCCTTTGCAGTGTGTGTCTTTGCATCTTTTGGGCGTGGCCAAACCAGCCCTTCCTTCTGGGAAGCTGGTCAGTGCTGTCTACTTCTCTTTGTGGTCACACAACAGTTTAACTGTTGCACTCTGCTGCTCACATTCCCCGGGCTGCGGTGCGACTGTGAATGACACTGAGAGCTCCTGAGGGTGGGAGCTGTGGCTTGACTTAGGACTGTGTTGGGCAAATAAACCAGGACCACCCACCTGAGAACACTGGGGAAAGGCTGTGTGTTCAGAGCTGGCTCAAGCCAGGGAGTCAGCCCCCATCCTGCGCATTTCCTGGGGTCTCAAGGCAGGCAAGGTGTGGGAAAGTCTGATAAGGGATGTAAGGGTGGGCTTCCCATGCACCTGATCTGGGACTCTGGAGGTTGCTTACTAGCAGTAGGCAGACTGTGTGATTGGTTAGGGAATGTTCTTGGCTTTCTCTGGTTGGTCCTAAGTAAGAGCAAAAATGAGGGAAGTGCTGACGGTTCTAGGCAGGTTGCTACTGAGGTGGTATTTGAGTTCTGGACTAGGAGGTTATTTATTAAATTATGACACTGACTCTCACGGAGGTAGCCCCAGCTACACGATCCTCTTGCCTCCGCCTCCAAGTGCTGGGATTACAGGCATTTGCTACCACACCCGGCATCAGAGTTAATTTTTTTATATACACTCCAGCTAGTTACTGTTTGTACAGTTCGGTCTATCTCAGGCAATATGTCCCAAATTATCTTTAATTGGTAGGGAAGCTGTTTTGGGGAGTGGAGCCGGAGCCTGTTAGCCTGGGAGTGAAGAAAGGGTGAGAGGCATCATGGGTGGAACCAGAGGGTTTTGGTGGGTGGGGTGGGAGGGAGCCAGGCCCCAGGGGAATCCAGAGGCCAGGATGTAGAACCTGTCAATCCCGTTTCTTAACCTTTCTCTGGCTTTGCTGGGAGTCAGGGAGTGGCTGTGGGACTTGTTGGCTCTGGCCTGACTGGGGTTCTGGGGAGTCAGAGGCGGGGACAGCCTTTGCCAGTGTCACGGAGCAGCCGTGGTGGAGACGGTAGGTGTTGTGCTCACACCTGACTTCCTGGCGGTGCTTTTCCTGGGCGTGCTCTCCCCTCCCTCTCCGTGAGTCACAGACCCTCCCGGAGCCCGGCCTGGGAAGAGAGGAGGAGTGAAGCTCTTGAATGGTTTGGGAGAGACAAAGTTGCTTAAAGTAAGGGAGCAAGATGAGAATTGGTGAAAATCCCCACGGTTGCCTGGCCCGTCTTTTGTCTCTAGGACCTAATCCTGGCCATACTTCCATCCTGATCATCTTCTGAAATGGTTTATTTTCTTTTATTTATTTTTTTACTTTGAAAGATGTTGGAAAGAAGAGAATAATATTGGTCTCAAGTTCTGTTGATCCCTGCTTATTTATTTATTTATTTGGTGCCATTTCTGGGGCTTGAACTCAAGGCCTGGACACTGTCCCTGAACTTTTTCTGCTCAAGGTTTAGTGCTCTATTACTTTGTGCCACAGCACCATTTCTAGATCTTTGGTAGTTAATTGGAGAGAAGAGTCTAATATAGATTTTCCTGCCCAGACTGGCTTTGAATCGTGATCCTTAGATCTGTCTCCCGAGTAGCTAGTTTTACAAGCTCTTAAGAGCAGTGCAATTTTACTTAGTGTTGGAGATGACCCTGATTTTGTTTAAGCTTTTTCCCATGATTATTCAATGTGTTTCCACCTACATCCACACTTTTGGGGGACAGAATTACAGGCAGGTGTGCAGTGGGTTTGCCTGGTCGCACTGGGACTTAGGCGGGGACAGATTTCAATTCCAAGAGCGTCTTGATGCTCCTTTCTCCCCTTGACTGTGAACAGTCCACTCCTCGTCTCTTGGTAAGGCCCATCAGCTCTCATCCCACTGGGGCTCATGCGTGGCAGCCCGGTCCCATCCGGAGATAACAGGTTTTTTGGGTTGCTGTGGAGAGGAGGGCAGGCGAGCTACACTGAAAAGGTGCTGAAGCTGAACTTGCACCTTGTGAGTCAGCCAGGAGCGGGCAGGCGGGAGGGGATTCCCATAAGGTCAGATTATATGGCTTGCAGAATCTCAGCTCCTGGAGTGGATTTCTGCATCAGGTGGAAATAGCTCCTCACTTTCCTCATTCCTACAATTGGGAGTTGCCTAGCTATCAGCATTAGTAGCTTCATTCACAAAGTGTTGTTGGAGCACTAATGTCTTCTAATTGCTCTGCTCCTGTGAACTCATTTATTCTTTAAGCCCCACAGAAGCCAATAGGAGGCAGGTTTGATAGTGTTCTCATTTTCCACATTCACCGGAAACACAGAAATTGTCAAGACTTACACAGCCATAGTAGTCTAACCCAGGTTTTCTTAACCACCATGCCATGTAGATACCAGATCCCATGCCAGGAGCGATACCTTCCAGGACTGTTCCCAATAATAAGATCTGTGGAAATGGACATGTCCACATTGATTATCTCTCACATTGGGATGACACTTTAGAGTGCATGTGACAGTCCCAGGTCATGTTTAATCTGCATGGCATGGCTTACAGCTGGAGAACGTGCCTAAAATGGTATGACCAGGAAGCAAGAGAGACGTCGCCACCCCTGGCTGAGACACCATAACCCACATCCTTCCATTGTTGGCTGTGGGTATGGCCTGGCTGGCTTACTCATGGGCGAGTGGATGAAGGTAAACTGAGGCAGCAGTCCCAGCAGGGGAAGCACTAATAATGCTCTACTAATAATGAGCATCTGTCAGCTTTCTTCCCTCTACGTGTTAGAATTCCTAACTCTCTTGTTTCTCTGCCAGTAATTCTAGGTATTTCTGGGAGGAAATATCTGAAGGATATTTCAGATCCTGAAATCTGGGCCTGATACCTGGTCCTTCGGTTATGATATGGTGGCTGCTTTTTTGCTGTCAGCCACTGAGTCTTCCCATCCGTAACTAAGTCATCCTTGACTGTGAATGGTGTCCTGCCTCCTGACACGATTCTCCCATTGCTCTGTTGGCCCTGGAGTATACCTTCTCTTGGGTTATTTTCCATATCCCATTGGTCCCATAGCCATACGAGCTTTCAGTCTGACTGAAAGACTTCTCTTATTGCATCTTCTTCCCCGGGATTCTGGCCCAAAGTCCTTGAGGTTAACCTGCGTTTGCACCGCCGCCCTTCCTGAGCTCCGCCTGGGAGCTTCTTAGCCCTCTCCTCCTTGAAGAACCAGACCTGCTGTGAACTCTGTGTTTGAACAAGTTCTCCTGGAAGAGTCACCCACTGCCTTGAATTGCACCAAATTGAATGGTTCCCTGGGGATCTGAGACATTTGGCGTTAAAACTAGGAAGAGTGGAGGCGTGCCTCCAGCCTT